AAAACGACGATGAATAAGGACTTCTATAGTTCTATATGTTATAACTCCAAACTTTGAAACGTATATTTTTCCTATTTATAAGCTATTTTAGAGAACACTATGATGAATTTTATATGTACTACTCTTTTTTCTTTTTGGAATTATAAGGGTATAATTGAGCCACTAAAATAATGGTAGAGACATATTTGGCTCAATAAATTGATGGAGGTTATTTTTGTATCAAATCAAATAGTTTAGGGACTCTTTTGACCCTTTTCTGTTTCTCCAAAGTGAAACGTCAATAGTAGATACCTCATTCTTGTGGGGCCACAATAATTATTGATATAACTTCGCAAGTGAAGTGACACGTGTGGATGCATGAAATATCAAAGATGGGCAAATTGGTCCGCAAAACCAAATATAAATAAAAGGGCTACACTACTACTACAAAGTGGCCCAATCAAAATAACAAAGAGAAGGTAAAATCTCAGTTTGATCCCTGGACAGCAAGCGCGCATATATATATATATANTATGTTATTATTCTAATTTTTCCACAAAATTATACCTCGTAAGTTTTGAAAGAATAAGTCATCCACAAACTTGACTTATAATGAGTGATATCATTAAAGTTGAACTTTATTATTGGATCAGGTTATATGCAAACTTAACTACGTTAAAATGATAGATTACTTTTTTAATATTTAAATAATATTCTCATTTTCCAACCTTTATTTTTGTAATTCCATGTAGTCGCTCATATTTTTTATTTTATTTTATTCATTTAGCATAATTGTGCTATTATTCTAGTTTTGAAACTACTCCTTCTAATATTAAAAATAATGAATCATTAATAAACTTAGCATATAATGAGTGATGTCATTAAAGTAGAATCATTATTGAATGAGGTTATAGACTTATGTTTTCATTTTCTTTCGAATTATATTTACTTATATTATGTTGAAACTTATTTTATGTTATGTTTTAATTTTACATAAGAGTATTATGTTATTTTTTTTTTTGATTTTGAATTTATGTTATATTTTCACTTACATTTTATTTGCTCTGGTATTTACTTATTAATTCAGATTGCATGCCATTCTTTTCAGTTAGAATTGATAAATTATTTTTTTCGTAAAATATTTGAGCAATGTTACGATATTATATTTATAAATATTAATTTTTTTTATCAATCATGTAGTCCATGACGTTCTTACAAAATATATACTTTTAAATTTTATAATTGATTAAAATAAAATATTATTAATTTAATATATATATATATATATATATGAATTATTTTAAAAATATTAGTTATAAATATATGATTATCATTAATATACTTTCAAGAAATAATATTTATCTTAAATGTCAAATTTAATATTATTTATAAATGCATATATTTGTTAAATATAGCTTTCAATTTTTGATAATTAACTTTATATTTAAAATTTAATCTAACTATGTAACTACGCTTGTACAACCAAACAATACACTTGTAATTATAAAGTAATTACACTATGACAAACAAACAGGTCTCGTAATTACAATATTGTATAATTACTACCCTAGTAATTACACCAATTTTAATTATCTGGTGGCTTTCCAAACAGATTCTAAATATTTCCTAGTTGATCTTAATCCTAAAAGGTATAGTGTTGGACAAGTTATTCCACTCCTAACAAGATTAATAAAATGATTCTATTTTAATTCTACCTTATAGATTGACAAACTATAATTACTTTACGCATTGCATATAACGAAATAATTTTTACAAACAAATTCTTATTCAGTTTTAAAATTTTGAATATTAGAAGTTCTTACATAGTTTAGATAAAAAGATTTATTAATAAGTTTTTAAATTTTAAAGTCTTAACATTAAAAAATAATTAAATGACAAATATTTTATTAATTTTAAAGTTCTAAAGTTTCCTTGTTGAACTTTGCATGTAAATAATAACTGCATACAAATTATGAGAAATGCACGTGCAGATTGTTGTCCAAGTTAAGCCAAAAGATAGCGAACAATATTAGGAAAAATCTTAGTTGATGTTTTAAATATTAAGCCTTCCTATACGGTTTAATAAGAATTTTTCTTATTATTATTATTTTGCCTTTACAAATATGTTATATGATATAATTTAAATAAGGAAGGATTCANATATCATGTTATCATATGCAATCATGTTAGGAATTTTGTTATTTTTTCTAATTATTTAAATACTACTTCGCCTCTAGCAAAAAAAAAAAATACTCCATATAACTATAAAACTCTTTCACATTTAAAATCCTATAAGTATAGTTCTTTGAAACACTGTAGCTAGATTTAAATAAAACGAAATTCTTTTAAAATAAATGTAATATATAGNTCATATGCAATCATGTTAGGAATTTTGTTATTTTTTCTAATTATTTAAATACTACTTCGCCTCTAGCAAAAAAAAAAAATACTCCATATAACTATAAAACTCTTTCACATTTAAAATCCTATAAGTATAGTTCTTTGAAACACTGTAGCTAGA